TGGCATTTCTCAGGCTCTTCTTGAGCTGGAGATGAACTTACACATAAAGGCTCAGTTAAGGGAGCTTAATATAACAGCAGTCAAGGAAACTGAGGTTGATGGTGGTTGGAAAGCTATTTAGTCTTTGTTTCTGTTCCTCAACTGAAATCTTTCCAGAAAATCCATGTCCAACTAGTATGCGAACTGGAGAAAAAGTTTAGTGGAAAGCACGTGTCTTCCTTGCTCAGAGAATTCTGCCTAAACCAACTTGAAAAACCCATACAAAATATAAGCAAAAGTGTTCCAGGAACCATACTCTGACAGCCCTGCAGTGCAATCCTTGATGACTTGGTCTTCCCAAGTGAAACTGTGGGCAAGAGAATCTGTGTAAAACTGGATGACAGCGGGCTTATAAAGGTTCATTTGGATAAAGCTCAGTAGAACAATGTAGAACACAAGGCTGAAACTTTCTGGTGTGTACAAGAAGCTCACCAGCAAGGATGTTACTTCTGAATTCCCAGAGTTTCAACTGTAAACAAAAATGACTAAGTAAAGTAAAGCTAAAAGGATACAATCCATTACATTCATGTTTAAGATAAAATTGCTGATTTTCTAATATCTTTATGGCAGGATACCTGAAAATATGCTAATCTCTTTCCAGGAAACTGGGAGGTGGGGGTGTGATCTTTCTTGATGATTACATTTTTAAAAGAGATCGTTCCCAAGTCCCTGACGAAACATCCTTGATTTACATACTTTTCAAAGAGACGTAGAAAGACTTTACAAGTTATTTAAAATGAATTCTGAAAGAACAGGGGAGGAGGAGAGCCTCTTCTCTTTATTTGAACAGGGAGAATTAAAATCTCTTATTTCCAATTTGTATTTTTCCTTACACAGGCTATGTGTTCATTATTGCTATTTTCCATAGAATAAATAAATATTTAAATTTTTTCTCATTTTTATTTTCTAATATAATGAATATCAATAGTTACAACCTACATCATGCCGGTTGCTGTCAAGCACAACTAAGTGTTCTGGAATTATATACATCCCCGTACATGTTGCTGTTGAGTCAATTCTGACTCATAGCAACCCTACAGGACAGAGTAGAACTGTCCCGTAGAGTTTCCAAGGAGCTGCTGGTTGATTCTAACCACTGACCTTTTGGTTAGCAGCCTGAGCTTTTAACCACTGCACCATGACCCAAATTATAACCTGCATAAACAAAAAGTCTGTGGGGTTCTCAATAATTTTTAAGAATGTAAAGGAGTCTGGAAACTAGATGCTTTAGGAAAAAACTACTGTTGTAATGCTCTGTAACTGTTATTCCTTCAAGAGTCTCAACCACCTATATTAATTATAACTTTTAATTAAAGTCATTCTTTTCTATTTTAAAAAGGAAAATTCAGGGTGGATAATTGAGAATTGTCTGGCAGACACAAGCATCTTAATAGACTAGCATAGCTCAAGAATAAATAGGACAAAACTTTCTATCTAGGGTCACTATGAGTCGGAATTGATTTGCCAGCAACAGGGTTGGTTTTTGGTTTTTAAAGTGGCAAAAATTAACACATTCATTAACATAACTCTAAGACATAGCTTCTCTATAGCATTTAAAAAGAAGCAAATGCACAAAAAATTAGAAGTATGCTTAGTTTAAATTAATGTTTCAATATTCTATTTTACTTAGAAAGTATCTGGCTGTCCAATGATTATCTACTAATTAACTCAATTAGTGTCAGTCCAAGATTTTAAGTTGCTTACAGATCTTGGAAATTATCTTCAAGCTGATATACTTACTAAAAAACATTAAAAAAAAACTCTTTGCCGTCGAATTGATTCCAGCTCATAGTGACCCTATAGGACAGAGCAGAACTGCCCCGTAAGGTTTCCAAGGATGGGCTTGGTGGATTCGAACTGCTGACCTGTTTGGTTAGCAGCCAAGCTCTTAACCACTGTGCCACCATGGCTCCAAGACATAGTTGCTGTTGAAATTAAAAGTTTATTTATCAGAAACAAAATAATAATGATGAAAAAAAAGTAGACGAAAAAAACTGAAGAAAGAGAATGTCAGCAAAGTGAAAGTTTGTCGCTTGCGATTCACCCTCTGGAAGCCAAGGAAAGACCTCCCCAGGCTTAAGCAGCCCTATAGTTGCACTCCTCTAGCAAGTTGCTTCCTGGCCATGTGATTTGAGCATATAGCTTAATTTCTCCCAGTCTGTTACCGCACCCATATGGTGTGTGATTAAATAGGATAATGAATATAAAAACTCTTAGTAAAACTGTAAAGTGCTATACAAATATAAAAGTCAATATAATTAGTATCAAATATAGCATCAATATTAAACATAATTTTATGTTACATATTAAAAAAAAACAAGCCAAACCTCTTGCCATCGAGTTGATTCTGACTCATAGCAACCCTATAGGACAGAGTAGAACTCCGCCATAGGGTTTCCAAGGAGCAGCTGGTGGATTTGAACTGCTGACCTTTTGGTTAGCAGTTGAGTTCTTAACTGCTACGCCAGAACTTTAATTTTTCCTGTTTTGTTATCAAATTACAGAGTATTTACTCTTAGAGTCATAGAGTGTAGACCTAAAACAAGGGAAATTCCAAGACTTTCTAATCTGAATTTATTATTTTCATTATAAATGAGGAAACTGAGGCTCTGAGAAGTGATTTCTTTGAGGTCGTATAGCTACTTCCTGGCAGGGTGGTGTGATGTCCAAGACATGTTGGTCTATTTACTGTATTTCTAATGTAGTCTATCAGCTAGAGGTTGTTTTGTAAACTACCTTTAGGATTATATTTTAATAGTTAATGTATTTCTTTATTAATCCACATTTAAAATATAGTTTCCACAGTATAGTGTGCTTTGTGGTATAATTCAAAGCAAGTGAGGCATTGTACACTCTTATTCATATGCAGAAACCATAAATCCTGCCTTTTTTTTTGAAAAGGTAAAATTTTGAATATTTTTGTCTTTGTATTTCCATAAGCATTCATGCTTTATTCCTGTTGTTAGACAGAAATTATGATTATGCTTATGTTTTATTATTCATCCATGATCCTTCTACATTTGTTAAACTGTGGTTTTACTGTATCATTAATTTTATGAAATTGGGATAGCACCGTATCACTCCTCAAAGACACTTTTACCCAAGTCTTAGTCATCTAGTGCTGCTATAGTAAAAATACCACAAGCGGATGGCTTTAACAAAGAGAAATTAATTCTCTCACAGTCTAGTAGGGTAGAAGTCCGAATTCAGGGTGTCAGCTCCAGGGGAAGGCTTATTCTCTGCTGGCTCTGGAGGAAGGTCCTTGTCATCAATCTTTCCCTGGTGTAGGAGCTTCTCAGGTACAGGGACTCTGGGTTCAGATGTGCTCTGCTCCTGGGTGCTGCTTTCTTGCAGTATGAGGTCCCTTTCCTTTTATCTCTTGTAAGATAACAGGTGATGCAGGCCACACCCCAGGAAAACTCCCTTTACATTGGATCAGAGATCTGAGTAAGGGTGTTACATCCCACCCTAATTCTCTTTAACATAATCTAATCTTGCCTCATTAACCACAGGCAGAGATTAGGATTTACATAGGAAAAATTACATCGATCACAAAATGGAGGACAACCACACAATACTGGGAATCATGGCCTAACCAAGTCGACACGTATTTTTAGGGGACAGAATTCAATCCATGACACCAAGCTACATACTTTTTTTTTAAAGCCTGTGGAAATAAACCTAAGAGGTCTTTTCAACCTAAATTCTAGGCCTAACTCACCTCCAAGCCTTTTCTTCTTTACAAGAATTTCTCCTTGCAGAATCTCTTACTATGGCAAGGCAAAGAATAAATGAATGCTAAAGTGACATTTTAAGGAGGAAATACAGAGAACATTACAAGGAGATAGAGTAGACAATGATTTTAATAATGATGTGGTGGTGGTAGGAGGAAGAAGAATACTCTCCAGAAACTACCTCCTCTTGTACTCTCTTAAATGTAATTTATCTGTGGTATTTTATCATGGCTGCAACAATGGGCTCAAACATAGCAATGATTGTGAGGATGGCACAGGACCGGGCAAGGTTTCGTTCTGTTGTACATAGGGTCGATGTGAGTCAGAACTGACAGGATGGCACCTAACAACAATTTTATCATGCTGATGAGTAATTTTACATTATAAATATGGAAGGGGTCAATGAATTGTAGATGTAAGATTCAGAATACATTTTATGAGGTCACCACCGTTTTTCACCTCTACTTTACACACAATGCTTGCTAGTGGAGGTAATTGTCTCTCTGCAGCTTCCAAGAGACACTAAAGGGCTTCTTGAGAACCCCAACTGGAAGAAAAGCCAGGGCTAAAGAGTGATTAAAATAACAGGCACTTTTTTCATATCCCCTCAACAGACCCCAAGTAAAACAGTTGCTCAAATGTATATTGGCCAAACATGATACAAATAAAGAATTCCAAACTTCACTATCATTTAAAAATTTTTGGTACTCGATGCTTAGGATTAAAAAAAAAAAAAACTAGCTATCATCATCCATTCCAACTCATGGAGACCCCACGTGTGTCAGAGTAGAACTGTGCTCCATATGGTTTTTCAATGGTTGATTTTCTGAAGTAGATCACCAAGCCTTTTTTCAGAGGTGCCTCTCTCCGGGTGAACTGAAATCTCCAACCTTTTGGCTGGTGGTTGATCACGTAACTGTTTGCACCACCCAGGGACTGTATGCTTAGGATAGGGTGTTAGTTTTTTGTTGTTTTAATCGCATTAAAAAAAAATTAACTGAAATTGGCAATTCCCCACCCCTTTCTTGTGAGGGTTCCATGAGCTCCTACGCGCAAAAGGCTTAGAACAGTGACTGGCACAGAGGAAAAGCTCAGTGATCTAGTGAGAACGCCCTCAGTAGTCCTTGGCCCCACCACACCGGTGACACAGACCAAGATCTCGCCGCCCTCTGGTGGCCATTGCGGGCTTCCGCCTCTAGCAGAGAGCTAGTTGCAGCAGCTCGCGTGGCCTCCTGACGTCACATCCGGCCCTTGCAATTCGGGGTTGCGAAACCCGCACGATGAAGTGCTTGTTTGTTACTGTCGGGACCACCAGCTTTGACGACCTCATTGCGTGTGTTTCGGCGCAGGATAGTCTTCAAGTGAGTGGGGAAAACGGGCCGGCGGCGGATTCGGGAACCCCGCTTCGCTAGTCTCTCGCCTTCGCAAGCCGTACTGGTAGCCTTGCTAACCTTTCTTGATCGCAGCGCTGCGAGAGAAAAAGCTCAACCTCAGCTGCCGCTGCCCCTTTTCTGGCTCTTCTCCGCGCCTGGCTGGGGCCCCCCTCCGCCTCCCTCTTCCCGCTTCCCCGCCCAGCTTCTCAGACTTCTTCCTCCGCGCCTCCTTTCTCGGGCTCCTCCCCTCCTTTCCCGGGCTTTGCCCCCCGATTCTCCGCCTCCGTTCTCTGGCCTCGCCCCTTCTGTCCACGGCTCCGCCCCTTGGACCTGAGGCGCCCGCACGCCCTGCCCGCACGCTCCGCCTGTTCCGCGCTACTCCTGCGGTGGGCGCCAGCTCCTCGTCCCCGACCAGCCTTCCTGGCGCCTGTCTGGCCTCGCCCCGCCCCCTCCCCTCCCCTCCCCCTCCTCCTCCCCTCCCCCTCCCTGGCTGGCGGCATTCCTGCCGGAGCCCGCGCTTTTCCCGGTCCTCAGAGGACGACCGCCTCCTGAGTGCGTTCTCTCCTCAGGCTGCTGCTTCTCTCAGCCAAGTCCGTGAGGCCGAATGAGGTGGTTGCTTGATTTCCCCCCCTACTTGACGCCTTTTCCCAAGTCTTTGCCTGCCCTCATATTTCTGTTGGGACCAGTTTATTTCACGACTTGGGGAGCTGGGTCGCGTACATTCCTTAGGTCTACTGAAGTACCTTGTTAGGTCCAGTTACGGGTCAAAGGATTCTTGTCGAAAACCACCTAAATTCAGCCCCAGTTAGAATATTTGGCAGCTCGTGCTTCGGTCTGAACACCGACTTTAGGGGTTTGCGGTTGTTACTGTTTTCACAGTAGCCTGACTAAAGGGCCGCCCTTTTTCCTCCCCTCTTTTAGATAATCAAGAGCCTTGGGTACAGCCGACTTGTCCTACAGATTGGTAGAGGAACCGTGGTACCTGAACCATTCAGTACTGAATCATTTACTCTGGATGTTTATAGGTACAAGGATTCGTTAAAAGAAGACCTTCAGAAAGCAGATCTTGTTATTAGTCACGCAGGTAAAGTGCCTTGGAATCTCCGTTCGATTTTCGATAAGTAATAAAGAATTTGGACCTTGAGGTAAAAATCACTACAGTAACTCACCGTAGCTCCTTTGACTCTAATAATTATTTGAGTTATTTGAATATAACATTTGGGAACTTTATTGGAGAGAATTTACTATTTCTGGGTGAGAGAAGATAAGTCGGAATAGACTTTTTTTTTTTTTTTTGTAACCCAGCTTTACAGTAAGAAACCCTTAACACGGGCAAAATGATTTATCCAATAACATGTAATGAGGTGTCAGTCTTGAGATTAGTATTTGGCCTTATGTCTGCTGGGATCCAATTGAAGAAATGTGTCAGATTGATCCGAGAAATTAAATTGGCTTTGAAAGATTTTTTACATTTCTACTAAATGTGAGTGTGAAATGAATGCAGTCAAAAATATTCTTTAATAACCATCACTGTCTGCTCTTCAGAAAACAATCCTGATTGTCTAGTAATCAGACTTCCAGTACCTTAAGAAGAACTGCTTTTGGGGAGTATTGTAATTTTGACTGCTGGGTACTTGAGTGAGGAGTTTCTTTGTTCTTAAAAAGTCTAAATAGTTTGAGGAGAGAAAAGTCATTAGAAATAGACATTACAGACAGACTAATCATTAAAAATGTGTAGGATAATAGTTAACAGAGCTTTTGGTACTGTTTTCTGTACTTTGTGTATATTAATTCCTCTAATCCTCCCAAACAATCCTATGAATTTAAGTACCATTAGTATCTCTATTTTTCAAATGAAGAAGCTGAGACAGGTTAAGTAACTTGTCCAGCCAGTAAGTGATGGACAGACTTTTTAAGTCTGGTATTGGAGTCTGTGTTCCTAACTACTACCCCTGTGTAGTATCTAAAATAGTCTGTCTAAAAAGGATTTATCTACCCATCAGTCTCCTCTCTCCCATTTAAAATATCTAAAGGATTCTAGATTTCAAAGTTGAATTGTCCGGATGTTGTATATGTGCATATTCATGGAGATCTGTTCTCCACTATTTTGGGGATGCTACTTAACCAGGGTGGCTATGAGTTGGAATCTATGGTTTTTTTTTTTGTTTGTTTGTTTGTTTGTTTTTTGGTTTACCTAACAGACTTAAGGAGTAGTCAGAGTTTTTGTTTATTGGTGTGAGTGGCACCAATAGTTACTGTTGTACAGGTCTCTTTAACCTAAAGGTTGACAGTTCAAAAGACCCTACCGAGTGGTGTGCTCTGGGGGAGGAGGCCTGGCAGTCTGCTTCTGTAAAGATTAGAGCCAAGAAAACTTTGTGGAGCAGTTCTACACTGTAACACATGGGGTCACCATGAGTCAGAATCCACTCGAGGACAAGGGTCCTCCCCTCCCACTACTGAAAGCTCGCTTTTTCTACTTGACGCTATGAGTCAGAATCGAAGGCAATGGGTTTGGGTTTTTTTTGTTTGTTTTTATTTTTGTTTTGAGTGGAAACTTCACTTACAGTATGTTGAACCTGAATCTTAATTGGATTCAAGGCCATGCCCAGGGCATTTGACTAGAGGGCAAGTGGCAAAGCACTGAATCGTAGGCCATAATATTGTTGGAGGTGATACGGTGATAAAGTAATGTATTTTTCAAGGTGATAAAGTAATGTATTTTTCAAGTCGAGTTTATAACACTTTTTAGAGAACAATTGATAACTGTACTTTTCTCATTTTGAATAGATAATTGAAAGGCCTGATTTGTGGTTCTGCCAACTAACTTTTGAGTTCTAGCTATAAAGAATGGTGGAGCACCTTAAACGAGCACTGGTTGTGCAGTGGTTGAAGCACTCAGCTGCCAACCAAAAAGGTCGGCGGTTCGAACCCACCAACTGCTCCGCGGGAGAAAGACGTGGCAATCTGTTTCTGTAAAGATTTACAGCCTTGAAAGCCCTATGGTGTCACTATGAGTCAGAATCTACTCAAAGGCAGTAGAGGTTTGGTTTGGAGCGCCTTAACTTTTTTTAAACTATATTAACAAATTTTGATATATTTTTGTAGGTGCGGGAAGCTGTTTGGAGACTCTGGAAAAGGGAAAGCCACTTGTAGTTGTTATAAATGAAAAGTTGATGAACAATCATCAGCTGGAACTGGCAAAGCAGCTACACAAAGAGGGGCACCTCTTCTACTGTACCTGCAGGTATACTATAGACTGATTATTTGACTGACCTCGTTTTAATTCTTTTCCTAGCTATTTTTCTTACTCAACTTACCTAACCTGTCTGTCTCTTCTGCCTCTTACCTTCTCCCACCTACCAAACATACCTTGATTTTATCACCTGTAAAACCCTCGTTTATTTTCCATTTTGACTGGTTTGTGTGTTGTACTTCTTTGTGTATCTGTGGCTGTTTCTTTGTATATGATAATCTGAATGGGTGTGTGTGTGCATAGGTGTATGTTCATCTGGGTGCATAAATCTCTGGGAATATAACTTTTTAGTTCATTATTTAGACTTTCGTTACCAAAGAAGGCATTTACTTATTTTTAATGAAGATTTTGCCTTCAGCAAATCCACTGGAATCCCTAAATTAGATTTACTTATTTATTTATTCAACTGTACCTAATATGTGCCAGGCACTGTTTTAGGTACTTAAGGGTGCAGTGGTAAACAGGAGATAAAGTCCCTGGTTTCATTCTAATGGTGGAAGATAGACGGTAAACAAATTCACAAGTAATAAATGACCAAGATGATTTAATATGCTGAAATGTGCCATGAAGAAAATAAGACAGGGTGGATATGATAACTGAGGTGAATACTATTTAGATAGGATAGTTAGGGAAGGCCTGATTGGGTATGTGACATTTGAGCTAAGACCTGAATGGCAAGGAAGAGCCAATCATGTGAAGCTCTAGAAGCAAAGGGAACAGCAGTTAAAAGGACCTAAGTTAGTAATGAGTTTGGAGTTTTGGTGTGTTTGGGGAATAGAGGGAAGGGTGATGTGGTAGGTGCATAGTGATCAAGGGAGAGTGTAGTACCAGATGAGGCTGGGTGGGGATAGCTTATATAAGAGTTCTGATTTTATTCTATGTTTAGTGAGAAGCCATTGGAGCATTTTAAGCAGAGGAATTACTTTATGGTAAGGAGTACTGTTTTCTAGAAGTATACTAAAATTCAACAAGAACTGATCAACATCACAGTAGGATGAAGAAAATTGCTGGTTTGTTTTCTGTTAGTCCTCCCTTAAGACATTAGAAGCTTGCAAAAAGGCCAGGTCAGTAATTTGCAATTGTTTGCTTTAAAACCTATCCTAATTTGGTATTTCAAAAAATAAGTACCTTACGGAAGTATTAGAAAAAATGTATTTTATGTTATAGTAAACTGAAATTAATTTTAAAATATAAAATAAACTCTAGAAGAAACTGGTTGGAATGTAAGAAGCTTTTCTTTTAGTTTTATTAAATATATATTGAGAACCTACTATGTGTCAGGCACTGTTCTAGGCACTTGGTATGCATCAGTGAACAAAAGATCCCTGTTCTCACTGAGGGGAGACAGACTCATTGATTGTTTCAGGAACAATTGTTGGTCCTCATTCTGATAGTGATGGAAGAGAAGGAATGTCAGGGTGGCTTTGTAATATGGAAGCCAGCCTTGAAGTATTGTGAGTTAGGGGAGGAGCTAGAAAGTCAAAATTATTTAGGCTTCCGATAGTGGGGGCCTATCTGCCCTTGGGTAGTTGAGATTGTTAGGGGTTAACATAATTTTTTAAAAGGAATAAACTCTCATTTTCTTAAGTGGTTTATGCAAATCAATTTTTCCAGAGACTTTTGATGAGTATTTTCATTCTAAATGTTAAATTAACTTTGATTTTATGTTAGTACATTAAAAAAGGAAAAGCAGTGATTTCATAAACACATCCTGGCATTTTACTCAGGTTGAAAAGGAAACTGTACAAGTCTCCAATTTATTCAGTTTTTACAGTTTAACAGTCTTGTATTAATTTCAAGAAAGTCACATACATGAAAGCAGTAAGAATTTCAATAATTAGTTGTATTTTCATTTTAGGTAAATCATTTTCCAAAAATTAGGCTGGGTGGTTGTATGTCTGTACTAATTTAAGTGACTGGTTTAATTAAATTTCTGAAGTGGTAGTTTTATGTTGCAATTTAGAACCTTCTTTCCAAGATGGCATGGTGATCATATATTGATTAATTATATATGGATTCATGATAGTAAATTACCAGTAGAAAAAGTTATTTCACAATCGTCATGTGTAATCTAGTAGTCTCCTCAGCTTATTTTTCTTATCTGGCAGCTATTACTTTTGGTTTCATTTATTCCTTTTTCATAAATTAATTTTGCTTCAATTTATATGTGCCCAGTCCTGAGTAGTATTACAAAGCCATGTGAATACATCTTTCATGAAATAACATTTCTGAAATACTTCAGTTGATATAAAAGATAAAGTATCTATTGAATTAATATTGGCATTATGTACTATTTTGCTTTAGTAATCTTTTCTAAGTATGTATACCTGTGTTATTAAAATACACTTAAAAATCCACGTGTACAGTTTGGAAAGCAGCACTGTATTCTTGGAAGTTAGATTCAGTCATCAAGTGGGCAGCAGATGAATTATGGAATTTTCTTCCATGTTACCTAATATTTTTCTTCTTTTGTTTTAGCACGCTTCCTGGGCTGTTACAGTCAATGGACTTATCAACACTGAAATGTTTTCCTCCTGGCCAGCCAGAAAAATTTTCTACATTTTTGGATAAAGTTGTTGGATTACAAAAATAAACACTAAACTCTCAACACTTTAAAACACCCGCAAATCCAACCTATGGGATGTGATTAAGTCAAATTAAATATATAATACATACTTGCAGAATAAATACCAATTAATAAACTATATCTATAGAATGCATAGAAAATTTTATGGTGTGAACATTTGCATTTGGGTCCAAATCCTATTTGCAATTTAGTAAACTTGCTAGATTGTCCCTAATCTTCACATTTTAGTAAAACATATGTAGTGGACATTCACATGTTTTATCCTAGAATCCCAAATACATTTGGAATCATGAAAAAAATCATGAGATTTGAAAACTTAAGGTGAAGTACTTTGGCAAGAACTATAAATGTAGTCAGTTTGATGTTTCCTAGAATAAAAAATGAAACAGTAACACACTTAAAAATGTTTTTGTTTGAGGGTCAGCATTTTGAGCTTCATAATTCAAGGAACCAAATTCAAAAAAAAAAAAAGACAAGCAGAAATGATAGATTGTGCTCTGTGAAATAAAAGCTCAGTAATTGCCTAAAAAAAGATTAACTATGAAGGCAGTTTTTCTATTGTACTTGGAGAAACTACTTTTATCCTGAAGAATAGAGCGGAGTGGATATGTTCACTTTTTTCTCTGAAATATAAATAGAAAATAGCAAAATAATCTTGCCCAATGACAAAGCTTCACTGGTTGGAGAAGAAGAAATCAAAAAGGACTTCTACTAGTAGGATTTACCGTTATTTTTTAAGGACACCCCCCAACATTGGTATTGAAACATTAACATCATAGAGAAACTTTATATGCTTTTTCAATTAGTTTTACAAATAAGAAATGATCTGATGTGAATAATGGCTGTAATATGTGGTTTTAGAATTTACAGGATAACTTGAGATAAGTACATTATGGAATTCTTTCTAATTAAAGTAATTGGTCTCGAGACCTTTAAAATACACAAGATTACTCCTAAGTGTCCATAGTTCTCTGGTGGAAAAGTTTATCTATAAAAATAGAACATTCGTTAGAAAGACCTGCATTCCATTATATTATCCCAATATGTTGAATGTTCCAAACATTTTACTTGGGATGCATTATATAATGTTTGTAGATTTATTTTCCTGATTGTGTTTTACTTAGGCTAATATTAAAATAACATTCTTACTAATGGTAGAAGGTGGTGGCTAAGAAGTGCTCTGGGTAGCAGGAGGAAGCCAACTTGGATTAAAATTTTGCTGAGATAATCTAAAAAGTGAGTAATCTATGCATAGTTGAGAATTCACAGTGCCATAATCATTGCATATTAATCTAGATTTCATTATTTCATTTGGTGGCAGGTTAAGCCAATGGTGTCAATTGTGTGTAGTAACATCTCTGACTACACCTTGTGAAATTTTGTATCACTTGTGGGGTTCTAAATCAAAGGATACTTCAGAACCATTTTGAGTTGGCAGGGATCCTCAAGATTATGTAGTCCAATTCCATTGTGTTTTAGATGAGGAAAGAAGCCAGAAGTTATGACTTGCCCAAAATAACAGCTTTTGGCAGAGGTGCCACTAGAAACAACTCCTTTACTCCCAGTCCTGTGCTCTTTTTACCATACCATAATATACATAAACTTATTGGTTCTTTATAATCGTTTGCCTAGTGTTTAGTTACTCTAATCCCTTCCAAGGATGGTTTTGTTTATTTTCAGAAGTTGTTCAATTCACTTCACTTAACTGCGTTTTGGTGTATGACGACCCATTCTCTACCTTACCTAGGGCATAAAGTCAAACTTAGAAACCTGTGATTCCTTAGTTGTTTGGAATCTAGCAAAATGCTGTGGATTGATATTTAAATTGAATGAATAAAGACTTTAAGACAAGAAATTGTAGAATTTTAGAGTTGGGAGAAGAAGAATATCTAGCCTGAACCACTCATTTTATAGATGAGGAAACAGGCTAAGATAAACTGGTTGCCAATTTTACATCTATATTTAGTCCTTATGAAAAAATAATGGTAATCAAAATTCTATTTAAAAGATTGGCTCAGTAAAAATGTTTGGTTTCATTACATGACTGATAACAGCTTCAGGTTCTTGTAAATCAGTGAGTTAGTGGCATGCGGTTTATTTAGCAGTTTTCTATTAGGATAAGGAAACAAAAGAGGGTTTAGTATTTTGGGAAGTTGACATTGTGGGTAGGTTTAGGGATGGACAGATAATAAGGTAATAATAGAAAGTTTATAGTGGTGAAGTAGGTCAAAAGTGATGTGAGGTCATAGGATGACCTTGGGAGATGAGCATTTTGGATGACAGCGTGCTTATAATTTGAGAGGGAAGACAATAAGCTGGAAGAAATTGGTGGGAAAATAGTATAAACAATGAACGTGATGTGGGTCTTGGGAACATTTAAAAGTCAAAAAGTATTGTCAAGTATGATTTGTAGATGCCTTAGAGTACTAATTTGTATGCTTTTAAAGGCAGATCATACAGAGGACAATAAATGTTCTGTACCACTTCCTTGATTGATAGTTTTAGGAAGAGTTTTCCAAGACTAAAAACAAGTCATGAGTGACTAGCAGTAATGTAGATACTTTTCTTGGCTCTTTATTCTTTATGATGCCGTGTGGGAGAAAGATGTGGCAGTCTGCTTTCATAAAGATTTACAGCCTTGGAAACCCTATGGGGCAGTTCTACATTGTCCTATAGGGTCACTATGAGTCGGAATCCACTTGACAGCAGTGGGTTTGGTTGGGGTTTTTATGGTATAAGCACCCAAGTAATCCCTCTAATTTATTCATAATATTAAATTTCCAGAGATGATAAAATACATATAGTATGAGAAATGAAATATCTGGACAGATTATTTGAAGTCAATTTTTGGGAAAAATTCAAATGGGTGATCATGATAGCCACGTAATGATCAATTTTCTGCTCTACAACTAGTACCATTTTCACAAGATTCAGGGAATGAAAAATAACCAACAATTGCAGTTAACGCTTGTTGAGCACTCACTGGGTATCAGGTACTATTCAAAGCATTTTATATGAATTAATTTAATCTCTATAAAATAGTTACTGTTGTCCCATTTTGCAAATGAGGAAAGTCAACTCAGGACATCATCTGAAAATGGAGTTTTATGTCACTTAAAGGTCCAAGAGATGGTCTGGGAGTTGTAACTGCAACACTGAAATCTAGGATATTTTAATCATTTATGGGACAGTAGGACAGAATATTTGAAATAGGACTATCCCAGAAATTCAAATTGTATGACAGCCACAGGTACATAACCCATTTTAGCTTTTACGTTGCTGTTTGAAAGCAAACTGATTGCTAGTCATAGAATCCATGTGGAGAAACTGCCAGTTGCAAGTTATTTATTGGCTCTTGTGTTCTTAAATATTTGTGTTCTAGAATTCTATTTTTGATCCTTTTTATATATTGTTTCTTGGTATTTTCAGTTCCAGAGCTGCTACTACTGATGACTCCCCTGTCTATATCTCTTAACTCCGATCGAGCTGACTGGTATTTCCAGTTGCCTGTTGGTCATGTTGGAGCTCTGGTGGTGCAGTGGTTAAGAGCTGCTAACCAAAAAGTCACCAGTTGGAATCCACCAGCTGCTTCTTGGAAACCCTATGGGGCAGTTCTACTCTGCCCTATAGTGTCGCTATGAGTTGGAATCAACTTGACAGCAACAGGTTTTGTTGGTCATGTCTGTCTGTTTATTCTGTAAGCACCTCAAACTCAGTGTACCCCAAACCTAAATCATATTTTCCCTTTTCATCCTTTTGTGATTCTTACCTCTGTTAATGGTGTTATCATCTAGTGAGTCCTCCAGGCTTTAACTCTTACATCTCCTACCCCTTATATCTGATTGGTCACCAGGTACCGTCAGGTTTACTTCCTAAATTTCTCAAGCCCATTTATTTAGTCATTCATTTAATCTTCCAACATAAATGCATAATGAGAATCTACTTTTGTATCAGCAGAACTCAGGATATGATTCCTGCCTTGAACGAGCTCTTAACAGTCTAGATGGGGAGGAACTGTGTCTTACTCGTTCTTGAGTCCTCTGCCTGAAACACAGGCCTTCCATAAATGATGAATGCACTTTTGTAACTGATGTATCTTTTCTGATGATCTTGATTAGGATGAGGTACTGGTTCTAGGAATACTGAAAGTCATTTCATACTGACTTTAACTTGACTCCACAGTATCTAGTATGTCTCTTGTTGAGAAGAGAGATGGGACTATCATATTGTATGGTGAAGTTTGTAGGGTCAGCCGTTTACAAGAGTAGTATTTAAAACATAACGTTTTCCTATGCAGTATCTTAATGGTATTGAAGGGGTTTGTGGTAGAAGTTACATGATGTTAAAAATCAAAGTTATATAGAAAGCAGCTATAGTGTTCTCCAGTAAAAGATAACATGGAGAAAGGCTTAGGATAACCACCAAGTGACAACTGATGTAATTTGCTGAATGGTTAATTCCACACTTGAATACTCCAGCATAATCTTTCTTATATTGTATAGTTCTTTTAATTCTTTTAGTTCTTTAAGTGACTAGACAAAAATTGGAAAGATTAGCTAGCTTCAAACAGAAATGTAGAATACATGCTTCGTGAATTTGATGTTAATTCTTAAAAATCTTTTGAAGGGCCTTTTTTTTTAACCATTACAAACCATCTATTTTGATATTTCACTTCTAGATCTTTATTATATTTGTTTATGATTTCTTTTACCACATCCTGGCTAGAATTGTTTATTTTGATTGACATTCTATAATAGCTTTGAAGATGATTTCATTTTGATGGTTGTTGTTGTGCTCTCTAAGGCAGAGGTTCTTAAAATGCTTTGAGTCATGGAACCCTTTAGAATATTCAAAACTACTAATGTCTTTCCCTATTCACATGTGTATACAGTTTTGCAAGGAATGACACATTTAGGTTTAGTAATTCCCAGTTTTCATAACAAATTACAAACCTTTTTCAAGTTTAAAACATACCAAACAACACATTTTTTCATCAAGTTTAAATCATACCAAGCAACACATTTTTTCATCAAGTTTAAAACATACCAAACAACTTAATACTCCTACTATTAACTTGGTGTCTATAGTGTATATCTCATAGCACTGTTTCTAATTGACAAAAAGGAATATTTGTCATTCATAGTAATTATTTTCAGATATACTGTTAGGCTGTTTGGTGGTGACCAGTGAGGCAGTACCAAAAAAAACCAAACCCCTTGCTGTTGAGTCGATTCTGACTCAGTAGAACTGCCCCATAGGGTTTCCAGGGAGCAGCTGGTGGGTTGGAACTGCCAGCCTTTTCGTTAGCAGCCGAGCTCTTAACCACTGCGTCATCAGGGCTCGGTATTGTAATTTACTCATATACTACTGTCAAGTGTGCTTCCTCAGTATGTTTTTGCTAAATTCGGATAGTCGCTGTTGAAATGATGTCTGCTAGATAATACAAAGTGAGAGGGCATACATCTTTTCCATTGTTCATCTCCCCTTTTATTCAGAAGAACATACTGGTCATTTCTCCACAGCCAGTGTGAAGTAGGTGGCTAATACACTTTCCAAATTTAGGAGTGAAAAACATTCCTAGATCCTTGGCCAGAATTAGTAGTTTTCTGAATCTAATTTTTTCATTTGTGAATTAATAAAATTAACTTACCTCATAGATGATTTCTAGACAAAACCAATAGTGTGACATGTTTGAAAAAAAGTTGAAATAATTTTCTGTTGGTTAGAATTTTTAAGAAGTAGGAATAGACTTAGAAGTGTTTCCCTAGAATTCACAATATATTGTCCTAAATGATACAGAAAGCAGAATTTCATATTTAAATTCATATTCAATCTTTAGCTAGGGTTATAGTTGAAGTTAGAGAGTTAAAATTTATTTAGAGGTTTAAATGAATAAATTTTTCCACTGCTTTAAAACAAAGAACAGAACATTCTGATCTTTATTCCCCCTTTCCGTAATCCTCTGTCTCTAGACTGACCAGACACTGCAAGTATCTTAAGTCAAAAACAAACAACAAAAGACAACAACTCAGTATTCCTGTGCCAGTCTGATACATATTTTTAAAAGTACTATTTCCCTTTTCATTTTTCTTGCCTAATCTATACTCATACAAAGCTTCAGGTGGAAGTGAGGAGAGAAGGAAATGAAATGGTTCTTGGTAGTTTTTATTCTGCATTGCATTTGAACAAGGTCACTGCGCTGGGATATCTATCCCTTTTTTTCTCTTTATTTTCTCCTTCCCAAAACATGAGGAAGAGGTTAAACAGGGTTGTGTTGCCAAGTTTTGTTTTAGAACCATTGTGTTCTCTTCCTTCATAAAGCCTGCTCTGTGTGAATGTCCACCAGGAAAAAGAGTGACTGATGGGTTCTGATTCTAGGGTGCTGTTAAAAAAAAAAAAACGTTTTAAAAGTTTACTATTATATTTTTCAGTAATGAAAGACTTTAAAAACAGATTCCATAGAGTTGAGGAGTCATTTCTCTCAATTGGCCCCAAGTTATTTGGTACTAGAAATAATTGAAATAAATGAGTACAGAGTGTTTTAACACGGATTGCTTTTTCAGCATGTTGTATATACATGTGTTTGTTTAAAAATCTGGGGCCGTTTATTTCATTTGATAGGTCAGATATATCATTCACTTTTATGCGGGTCAGTCAACCCCTTTTTGTCAGGTTAATAGGCTAATCACCCTAAAGCTATTTTGTACACATAATGGTGATCACAAATTTGACCATGTTAAAGGAAGGCAAATCTGTTACTCACTGTTGAATCACAGGGAATCGCAGATCCTTAGACCTGGAAGAGAGCTTAAAGATCATGCAGCCCATCTCCTTCATTTTACAGATGGGGAAACTGAGACTTAAAGATTTTAAAGTAGCATAACGAAGTTTATATAATATTCTTTTTATGATACCATATTGCCTCTCAGAAAACAAAAAATTCAGAAGCAGCATGTCCTGTATATATACAACTATACCTTGTATGTAAAAGATAATGTATGCTTTAAAAAAACTGTTTCAGGCATGTACTTCATTTAGTTGGCTGAAACATGAAGGTTTGTTATCTTAGAATTAAAACTATCAGTATTCATATGTTGTGCTACAAAGAGTTTCCTCATTTGATCAGTGAAAGTGAAAGTATTCTATCAAGTAAAATCAGTTTCAAGGTAAATTCAATATAAAAATAGTATATTATATTATAATGTGCTGTATATTACATTGTTACATATATAATTTTAATTATAAAATTAAATCACACAAATTTCATGACAAGTCAAATAGTATGAATTATTTTGTTATTTTAACTTATACCCAGAGGTACAGTGCCTAAAAAGTCTTCAATCATTTTTCTTCCCAGTATTTCCAGATGTCAAAGGGAGAGATCCCATAAGGGTTAGGGAAACCTCTGACTGGGGGGGGGGCGATACTCGAACTTTGGCCTGATTTCCAGTAGAATTTAGGAGAATGGTTCTTACCTTTAATTTTGACCAGAGAATAATTTCTTAGTGAAACTATTTGTCAGGTAGCAGCTAAAAGCGGTCAATATTTAAGCACTTACTTGTGCTAAGCACTAAACATGCAGTATCTTATGTAATTATTTCAACAACCTTAGATTTGGATCACAGAAATTTCTAGAGTAACATTTCTCAAACTTTGAAACATTAATACATGATCTACGACAGGGAGAAAGGTTTGGAAAAAGTCAGGTCAAACAAAGTTTGATATTTTGGTCTTGGGATTCTCTTTTGAGGAACGCTTATTAATAATTTGTGGTACACATTGTTCTAGAGCAGTGGTTTTAAAAGTGTGGTCCCTGGACCAGCAGCATTACCATCACCTGGGAGCTTGTCAGAAATGCAAATTTTCAGGACCTACACCAGACCTATTGAATGAGAATCTCTGGGCATGGGGCTCAGCCGTCTTATTTTAACAAGCCCTCCACTCGAGAACCACTGTTCTAGAGGTTTACAAGTTTGGAGTAGTTTGTTATGAAAGAATGATTAGTCAGCCAATTGAAATTTCAAGTGTAGTAGATATTTCAAAGGACAATATTAAGTGACTTGAAATGACTTTCTATTTACAGGATGAAATCTAACAACGTCCCGCACGTCTTTAAAAAAAAGTACTGGTTCAGGAAACATAACCTGTACTTTACTACCGCTGAGCCTTTGCCTCATACCTTTTCTTTGATATGCCATTTCTCTTTTTTTATAATAATGGCAGAAGAATCGAGACTATAGCCTAGTCCCAGTATTATTACTGATTGAATGTGAAAACTTCGACAATCTTGTAATTGCCTAAACCTGTTTCTTCATCTGTAAAATTCTACTTATTTTGCCAGTTTATTATGCTGTTCTGTGTTTTGCTCACCACTGAATAAAATTTTTATTAAGGTAACATAAATAAAATGTGAACTAGTTCTACAAGGTTTACAACAAGAAACAGCAGTCCTATGTCCCATTCCACCGCATCTGTGATCCTGCTTCCTATAGGTGACCATATTACATTATTTTATATGTTTTTAAATAATATGTTCAACCTGGGTTATTTTTTTTTTTGCTTTAAAAAAAATGAGATATCTGTAGTCTTCCCATGATCCTAATTTAGTTTTATCAGTGTTTGTGAGATCAGTTTTCAGTGTTGACATTATTACGATTACATAAGTGCAGTATTGTTCACCTCTGAACCGTGTAGCAAGTGCTCACTGATTATATTTCCTTTCCAATAAAACTGTGTTTCCCTCATTTTTTTCATTTGCTTAGTTTTCTATAGAAACATCCCCAAACTCTCCAACAGAAGTGTATATCTCCCCTCAGTATGTTCAAACACATCAGATTATAACTTCTGTTATTTATTTTTTTGAGATGTTGGGCTGAGGTTCTCTGTCTTCGTTTAATCTGAACTGGTTGTTCTCTAGTTCTGTTGAATATCCGTCTTCTGTGATTTACCCTTCATCTTTATCCTGGAAATTCCCTTGCTTTCTTGTGCTGTTCCCCTATCTCCTGGACTGTACGCCTCCCTTTTTTTGTTTAATTTTGTTGTTCAAACATCCTCCAGTAGCATCCTGAAATTGTTGTTAGGTGCCATCAAGTTTGTTCCTACTGGTAGCAACCCTGTGTACAACAGAACAAAACACTGCCTGGTCCAGCACCATCCTCACAATCATTGTTATGCTTGAGCCCGTTGTTGGGGCCACTGTGTCAATCCATCTCGTTGAGAGTCTTCCTCTTTTTCACTGACCCTCTACCAAGCATGATGTCCTTCTCCAGGGACTGGTCGCTCCTGATAACATGTCCAAAATATGTGAGACAAAGTCTCGCCATCGTTGCTTTTAAGGAGCATTCTGGCTGTACTTCTTCTAAGGCAGATTTTGTTCATTCTTCTGGCAGTCCATGGTATAGTCAATATTCTTTGCCAACACCACAATTCAAAGGCATCAATTCTTACTCAGTCTTCCTTATTCATTGTTCAACTTTTGCATGCATATGAGACTATTGAAAATACCATGGCTTGGGTCAGACACACCTTAGTCTTCAGCATCCTGAGAAAGGGCAATAATGTTTTTTTTTTTGAGATCTTGCATGTCTCAAAATGCCTCGTTCGACTCTCTCATCAGATTGACAGTTCGACTGGTTTAAAATGCTAGGTTGGAGATAATTTGCCCTCAGTTCTTGAAATCCGTTGTTTTCTAGCTTCTACTTTTTTTTTGAGAAATTTATTGTTATTTATATTTGTGGTATTTTTTATATATGAGCTGTTTCTCTGCTCTGAAAGCTTTAGGATCTTCACTTTATCCTGACTTAAGAAATTTCATTGTTATGGGCATTGCTGATGATCTTTTTTGCTTTTATTGTTCTAGCTACTTCATGGACCCTTTCAGTCTCAAACTGAACACTTGTATCCTGCAATGCTAGAATTTTCCTTATATGATCATCAAAATTATTTCTTTCTCTCCATTTTCTTCATTCTCATTTTGGGCCTCTTGGTTAGAGTTGGCTTTATTAGATTGAGCCTCTAATTGTCATATTTTTTCTCTCCAGTCTTTTTGTATGTTCTGTGAGCTCAACAACTCTAAATTCTATTCTTTCTCCTCTTTTGGTTTTATTTATTTTTAAAATTACATATAGTAAAATTGGTGTTTTTTCTTGTATAGTTCTGTAAGTTTTGACAAATACATGGTCACGTAACCACTACCACAATCAAGATACAGAACAGTTTCATCACCCCATATGCTCCTTCCTGCAATCCCTTTGTAGTCAGCCCTTTAAGACAAGCTACTGATCTGTTTTCCCTTTCTGTAGCTTTGCCTTTTCAAGAATGTCATATAAATGCATTCATACAGTATGCAGCCTTTTGAATCTGTCTTTCATTTAGCATGATGCATTTGAGATTTATACATGTTTTTGTATGTATCAGTAGTTCATCTTTTTTTTATTGCTGAGTAGTGTTCTCTTGTATGGATGTACTGCAGTTTGTCCATTATCATTTGAAGGATGTTTGGTTTGCTTTTAGTTTTGGGAGATCATGATTATGAGTAAAGCTGCTATAAACATTTACATATGGCATTTTGTGTGAAGGTAAATTTTCATTTCTCTTGAGTAGACTACTGGGTCATATGGTAACTCTATGTTTAACATTACAAGAAACTGCTAAACTATTTTCCAGACTTGCTATACCATTTTACATCTCCTCCAACAATGTGTAAGAGTTCCAGTAGCTATTATCCTTGTCTGCACTTGGTTTTGCCAGTTTTTAATTTTTTTAAATTTTAGTCATTCTAAGATTTATGTAATGGTATCTTTTATTTTTTTGTTTCTCATTGTGGTTTTAATTTACATTTCCCTAATGCCTAACGGGGGCCCTGGTGACGCAGTGGTTAAGCATTTGGCTGCTAACCAAAATGTCAGCAGTTTGAATCCACCAGCCACTCCTTGGAAACCCTCTGAGGCAGTTCTGTCCTATAGGGTCACTATGAGTTGAAATCAACTTTGATGGCAGTGGGTTTGGTTTGGGTTTGGAATGCCTAATATTGAGCAATTTTTTGTATGTTTATTTTCCATCCACATATCTTTGGTGATAAGTGTCCAAACTTTTTTACCTTTTTTAACAACTTTGAGGTATAATGAACGTTATAAAATTTATCAGTTTTAAATTAAAAATCTGTGTTTCAAACGTTTTCGCCATCAAGAAAGTGAAAAGACAGCCCCCAGAATGGGAGAGAATTTTTGCAAATCGTGTCTGAGAAAGGACTTATATATAGAATATAAAAATACTATTTATTACAACTCAATAATAAAAAGACAAATAACCCAATTAAAAATGGATAAAGGCTCTAAGTAGGCATTTCTCCAAAGAAACAGATAATGAGCACATGAAAAAATGTTCAACAATATTAGCCATTGGGGAAGAGCAAATCAAAACCACAAGTAGATACTACTACACACCTACTAGGATGGCTGTTGTGTGCTGTCTAGTTGATTTCAAGTCATAGGGAACCTTATAGGACAGTATAACTGCCCCATAGGGTTTCCTAGGCTATAATCTTTACAAAATCAGATAACCAGGCTTTCTAGTGGGTTTGAACTGCTGACCTTTAGGTTAGCAGCCAAGTGCTTAACCATTGCGTCACCAGAGCTCCTTCTAGGATGGCTAGTTGGGTAATAAGTGTTGACAAGAATGTGAAGAAATTGGAAGCCTTACACACTACTTGTAAAATGTAAAATGGTACAGCTGCTGTGGAAAAAAGTCTAGCAGTTCCTTGAACTGTTAAACATAGAGTTAAAATACGATCTTACAATT